TTCATTATACTTTCCTCTTTTATTTTCATGAAACATATGATAATATGTTTTTATTGTTATTTTGCATATGTAGGAAAACTATTGGATTTTGCATGTTAACTTTGGAAACAACCATGTGAGTAATTCTGCTGTTTCTAACAGTTTTTCAACCTGTGCCCTCAGACTGACTTGCTAAGCAATCACATCACTTATAAATAATGATCGTTTTTGTCTCCTCCTCTCAATGTTTGTACCTCTTATTTCCTGTCTTCATCCGAGAATTATGTTATTGTAGGAATTATGTTATAATAACAGTGCTAGCAGGAGTCCATGCTCTCTCCACAGACTGCTGTAAGTATTTCACTTTTAAGCACGATGCTGGTTATAGGTAGATATATATGTGTGTGTATAATTATAAAGAATAACAATTAAAATAATATCAACATTTACCTTTCCTTTTTGCTAATATACAGTATACAATATAATATATGTTAACATACACTGTGCATTTTATATGCATTTGTAAATTTACATAATTACAAATGATATCAAAAAGTATTTTTTTCCCCTCTCCTGCTAAGGTTGCTACCAGGATAAGATGACAGATATCAAAGGCCTATGAGAAAACATCTATCTTGATGATCAAATAGTTTTTCTCTCTTGATCTACTAATTTGGCAGATTATATTGGTTGTTTTCTTTGCATTCTGGGGATGGCTGTTGTTTAGAAGCTGGGAGCTCAGTGAGGCTGAGGTTGAGTAATCTGTGTACTCTTCTTTTTCTCCCCCTCCCCACACCCACATCAGCAAGAGGGACAGAGGGTCAAGGAGGAAAAGAATAGGGCCAGGAAGCATAGAGAATGACAAGGGACCCCTTGGGAATTAATTGTTATTCCAACGTGACCCCCAGAAACCCCCATTCAGGGCAGTGCAAAGCACCACCAACCTTGAAGGTTAACACTTTGGACTTTTCAAAGTCAATGGCAGCGGAGTTCTCCACAATGATCGTGACTTGAGCTTCATTCAGGACTGTCTGTGGCACCACTCGGAAGATGCCTCCAGGTCCCACCAGCCGCAAGTTGAATTTGGCATTGGCTCCCTGAGTGATAAAGTTTGTAGAAAGGAAACAGAGACAATAAAGTGAGAATAGAATCTTATATTAATATAGTCATGCTGTACAGAAGGAGCTTTCATTTGCCCTTAACCCTGGGAAGTATTATTATTTCTTTCTATAGGTAAGTTGATCAAGGATTGGAAATATTTAGCAAGTTATGAGGATCAAACCTGGTAACTCTGAGCCCTGAGCCAGGATAGGAGTGCAGGTCACATTTGCAAATGCCTGTTTTGGCAAGTCAGATGCAGAGTTGCTTTTGTTGGACTGGCTTTTACTTTTGACCCGATTGTACTGCCTTTTGGCTAACCAGGCAGTCTTTGGCTGGCTACTCTCCCCTCCTCTCCCTCTTGGTTATACCCTCCTGTTCATTCATTCTGTGAGCTGCCTGGTCCCTGCCATATAAGCAGTGGGGGCTAATGCAGCCCTGGTTAACTTTAGGACCTCTGCTGCACACCATCTGCAGGAAAGCAGAGTAGAAGGCGGCACCCCATACCTGGTCAGAGTCATTGACAGTGATCTTGAGGCCCCGTAGAATCTCCCCCTGGGGCGGATGTTCATTCATGGACAGCTCAAACCTGTTCTGGGGTCCGCTCTCTCCGTAGAATGTCGGAGGATGGTTGTTGAGGTCCACAATCCTGATGGTGACGGGGACCATGGCCTGGGCAGCTGGGGTCCCCACAGAGCTGATCTCAGTCACCTGGGGCGGGGACAGGCAGCTACCAGCTGTGTGGCAGGTGTATCCTTGAGATGGCCCCACTAATCCTACTCCTGGTATTCATGCTCTTGTGTAATCTGCTGTCCTTATGTGTGGCCTCACCTAGTCACTTGCTTCTGATAGCACACAGCAAAGATGATGGGCTATCATTTCATGATTAGATTACAAGAGATTGAAACTTCATCTTGCTAGCAGACTCTCTCCCTCGCTGGCTTTGATGAAGAAGGCAGTGATGTTGGAGAGGCCCGTGTGACAAGGAAGCAATGGTGATCCCTAGCCACTGGCCAGCCAGGACCTGAGGCACTTAGTCCAACAACCTACAAGGTACTGAGTCTTTCTAATAACTAGGTGAGTATGGAAGCCAATCTTTCCCTGGTCAAGCCTTCAGATGAGACCCCAACCCTGGCTAACAATCTCACTGCAGTCACAAGAGAGACCTTGAAACTGAGAACCCCGCCAAGCTAAGCCTGGACTCGTGACCCACAGAATGTGTGATGTTTTAAGCTGCTAAGTTTGGCGTAACTTGTTTTGCAGCAATAGATAACTAATATGGGCTACAAAGCGAAGCCTGAGAGTCCATCAGCACCTCATGAACCACGTGGCAAATATCCCATAAGTCTCTTCAAGGCCTCTTTTTTCCCTGTTCTATAAGCATTCTCTGGTCTGTCTTATCTACCTTAAGATGACCCTCTCTGCACCCCATGCCTTCACACCTCCACTGCTGTCCCAACTCTCCCCCTTCTCAGAAGCCTATTCCTGCCATTTCCATGTCCTCCTTTCCTCTCAATTCTTACCCCATGCCCCGTGTAGACACTGCACCCTGATTTCCACACTGTATCCGGCACTGCCACTCCTTTCCCCCCACCCCCAAGTGCTGTGTTTCCTTAGCCGGCGTGACTGTGCTCTCTGCACATCTTCCTGGGCCTCTCTGACCTCCCTCTCAGGTCTCCTTGCCCTCCAGCTCCTTCGCAGCCTCCTCCACGGCCATTTGCAACAGCCCCTAGCCACCCATTCCTCTCTCCTCACAGCCAGCCTCTGGGTGCTCTCATTGCTTCCTATGACTCTCACAGCTGCCTATAAGTTGACGCTCTCTCCTCCTAGTTCCCAACCCCTATGTCCAAGTTAGGGAACTTCAACTTGCATGCCCCTCAGGTGTCCACATTCCCGTTCCCTGCCTACTTCACTTGCCTCCTCTCCTGCGCTCTTGATGGCAGGTGCTACCCCATCCCTCACCTCCTGCACCTGTCAATTGCCACCTTCTGTGCAGTGTGACTTCTTCAGATTTTCAGTTTTATCCCTTCCTTCCATCTCACCTCCTCTCTCCCCCACAGGCCCTCTTCTTCCATCACCCTGACTGATGACTCTGCCTCCTGACCTCCCATCCAGTTTCCTCCAAGCCTGAGATCAGAGTTCTCAAATTCCAGGCTGGGACTGGTGCCAGAATCATCTGGGTGTCATAGCATGAAGAGTCCTGGGTTTTCCCCGATACACTGAATTCCTGTTCCCAGAGAGCGTCCTGAAAATCTTGGTCGGCCAAACTCTGCTCTAGTGAGCAAGCAATGTGAGATTTCCGGCAAGTGATTATAATCCTGTCACAACTTCTCAATTGCTCTTGGGAAGAACCAGGCCCATAATATATAGGCCTACCAAAAAATAAAAATCTAGGGTCCCCTGTTCAAACATTATTGGGAATTTCAAGATAGCAAATAGTAAAGCATCAAGCATAGCATGGGCTTCTAAGCATAGTCCCTATGTGACTGCACAGGTCATATGTCCTGCCCTGGGGACAAACCCATTCCACACACTCAGGGCCTTTGCTCCTCTGGCCCCAGCCTGGAAGTCCACCTTCTCTCCTTCTCCAGGCTGCCCATGGTGGGCTATCTGCTCTGGTTTCACCTGACTCCTGAGTGTTTCCCAAATGCATCATGTGCTCTCTCCTCCAGTCTGGGCTGCAGGGCCTTCCTGACTTGGGAAGCCCTCACTCTGCCCCCCACCAGTGCCCCCTCCACCAGTCTGTACCTGCTAGATCCTACCCACGCATGCAGCATCTCGGCTTGAGCGCTGCCTCCTCTTGCCTTTTCATGAGTCTGCTTGTGAGCTCTCATGTCCCCTTCTCCTCCCCAGGGCTCACTGCAGATCTGCTGCAGCCTGGTGTGGGTGCTCTTTGGAGCAACATCTAGCTCCCTCCCCAGACTGTGAGCCACAAGGGGTGGTGGTAGAGGGCCTGGGTCTCACTACCTTTGTAGCCTTTTAGGACCAAAGGGTGGGCGGGAAAGCCTCAGTTAGAGGGAAGGTACCTGTATATGCAGCTCATACACCTCTCTCTGGAGCTGGGCAGGGCTCTGCAGGACAGAGATGGCTCCAGATGTCTCATTAATTTCAAAGGCTCCTTCACTCCCTGTTGGAGAGACACCGCCTGTAGTTTCACACAGGGCCACAGTGGGGCGCAGGGGTATATGCCATATGCGCCTCTGACTTTAACCTGGGGAAGTCTCCTCCACAGACTGCAATCCTATGACCTGCCTCTTGTCAATGAGGAAACTGAGTCTCAGAGGGGCTAAGTAACTTGTGTAAGGTTATAGAGCATCAGTTCTCAACCTGTGGGTTGCGAGCCACAGGAACTGTATTAAAGGGCCACGGCATTAGGAAGATTGAGAACCACTACATAGAGCAAAGTGCAATTCAGAGCTGGGACTTGTGCTCACGACTCTCTGGGTCCCAGATTACATACTGTGTCCCTTCTCTTACACAGTTGTGTGTGTGTGTGTGTGTGTGTGTGTAAGAAAAGAGAAAGGGAGAAGAAAAGGGAGGAGGGAAGGGAGAGGAGAGGTACTGTGGAGATGGGTGGAGTGGGTGCTTTATAACCTGAGAAGGTTTGCAGCGGTAGTGTGGAAGGCAGCCAAGGGTTGTTGTGCCTGCAGAAAGGAGTCCGTGTGTGATGGTGGCTGATCTGTTCCTGTGTAAACTGTGGAGAGCAAGTGTGCACCTGGTATATCCTAAGGACAGGGTTGGGATGTATAGATATGTGGACATCTGGAACCAAGTGCCAGGTGTGCTGACCTGGCCTGCCCCAGGGACAGACCTGCTGGGTTGCCGCCCAGTTGTAGGAAGAACACAGACTCTGGAGCCAGAAGACTCAGGTGCACATCCAATGGTAGGAACTTGGGATGCCCTCTTAGCTTCTCTGAACCTCAGCTTTCTTATCCATATATAAGGTTAGCACCAGGGAGATGCCATGTGATCAATGCATTTAACTCATTTATTTTTATTTTATCTTTTGGAAACAGAATCTTATGCTGATGCCTCAGGATAGAGTTCTGTGTCCTCAGCTTAGCTAATATCAACCTCAAACCCCTGGACTCATGCAATCCTCCTGCCTCAGCTTCTCAAGTAGCTGGGACTATATAGAGCCTGTCACAATGTGTGGCTAATTTTTCTATTTTTGGAAGAGATGGGATTTCACTGTTGCTCAGGCTGTTCTTGGACTCCTGAGCTCAAGAGATCCTCCTGCCAGAGTGCTGGGATTACAGGTGTGAGCCATCACCCTTAGCTGTGTATTTGACTCATTTAATTCAGCTATATGCTGTAGGCCAAAAAAAATTTAAAAATGTAAAAACATACACAGCAATTTAAAAAGTATGAGAAATGTTGCCATCCATCTCCATCAGTGAGCATGCCACCAGATTGAAGGGAGCATGGATCAGCACCATGCATGCCGCCTTCAGTGCTCCGCACCCCACATGCAGGGGCCAGAGCCCATGCCCCAGGACACTTGCCATCTCCTAGGATGAGGGCAGCCCGTTCTCTCACTTGTCTTGTATCCCCTAGTTCTATCAATGAGTGAGCCAGGATCCAGAGTGGTTGGGGAACCGGGCTCTAGTCACCCAAAAAGTCAGTGCTACAGCCCCAAAGCTGCCCCAGGCTCACCATTCACAAGGCTGTAGAGAACATGGTTGGGTTTGCCGCGATCTCCATCCATAGCGACCACCTTCAGTATCTCCGAGCCCTTGAAGGAGCAGAAGCAGCTGTCTGAGGCTGCTGGGTAAGACTGGGGCCCTCCCCATCCTAAATATGTCCCCCTCTCAGAGGAGAGGTGCCTCCCCCACTCAGGAAAAGAACTGGGCCTCAGAGCTTCTCTGGGCTAGGGGCACAGCCTGAGCCCCTGCTACTTCCCAGCTTGCAGCGGTCAGCGCAAGAGCTGCCCAGGGCCTCCCACACCAACTCCTGGGCTGCAGGTCACTCTCAGACCTCTCCTGTCCACCTCTCCTGCTCTCCAGCCACCATCTGCCCCCCACTCCTCCCTCCATCAGATGCATAGGAGAGGTAGGGTGGAGTCTAGTGGGAGAGGGGCTAGGCACAGACAGCCTCAAATGAGACGCCCCAGGATTAAGATCCTAGCCTGCAGCCAGGCTATTGCTGTGACTAAAGGGTTTGGGGTGGGGCTTCTAGGCCTGGACAGTTCTTGCTTGACCTCTGCCTGCCACCCCCAATTAAGCACCCTACACAGGCCCTTCTCTCTGGCCTACTCAAGGCTACTTCCTGCCCCAGTCCAGGGGCTGCCCTTCTCCCAGAGCCTGCTCAGAGCCCTGACCCTCTGCACCAGCTCTGCCCTTAGCAGCTTGTCAGGGTGGTCTGGGTCTACCTGCCTTGTCCTGCAGCTTCCTCTCAGGGCAGCACAACACTCCTCCCTCCCTCTCTTTGAGCTTGCCTCCACCACTAGGTCCTCAGTAGGTATTTTTTTCTTGTCTTATAAAGTTGAGAATACTCAGAAAAGGGTAAAGTGCAAATGGAGAATACAATCAGTTCCATGAAAGGTTCTTGAGCTGTGGCCTAGCAAGGTTTGACTGTGGCCTGACCTCTACCCGCAGTAAGCTGGTGGTCTGGTTGGAGACAAAAGGCCCAGATCATGGTCTGAGCCTGGGCAAGTCCAGAGCGAGGGTCTGTGTGAAGAGGGCCACCAGGGCTGACCCCAGCCACTCCTGGACAGGGGTTCCCAAGAGTCATGAGAGACACTGATGAACTAAAGGGCACAGCCACCCACCGGAAGAGTGTCCTCGTACACGTAGCCATAGTAGGGTGTGCCCACGAAGACAGGCGCTGTGTCCTGCACATCCTCCACGTTGACTGTGATGGTGGCGGTGGCTGAGAACACCACGTCAGCCCCTCGAAGCCTTCCCCCACCATCCTGGGGAAGAAGCAGGAGTGTAGAGGACAGATTCCATTATACTCCTAAGAGCTTCTGTTCACACTGGCTGTGAGGCCAGTTGCCCTCTCTGAATTTCCGTTTGCTCCTGTGTCACCAGAAGGTGAATCTCCTCTCAGACGATCATTGGGAAAGAGATGATGGGTGCAGGCCTTCAGTCTGTGCCCAGTGTGCCAAAAGTGCACACAATCATTCTTTTGGAAAGAGTCTACATATGATGCCCTAGGTAGAATGCCATGGCGTCATAGCTCACAGCAACCTCAAACTCTCCAGCTCAAGTGATCCTGTTATCTCAGCCTCCCAGTAGCTGGGGCTATAGGTGCCTACCACAGTGCCTGGCTAGTTTTTCTATTTTTAGTAGAGATGGGGGATCTTGTTCTTGCCCAGGCTGGTCTTGAATGCCTGAGCTCAAGCAATCCACTGGCCTTGCCTTGCAGAGTGTTAAGATTACAGGAATGAGCCACCGTGCATGGCTTCACAGCATTCTTTTGGAAAGAGTTAGTTCTGTCTCCAGGGAAATCATGTCCAGCACCTGGCAGAGGTGGAGGGGCTCAGAGCTGAATCTCCTCTCCCAGCCAGGAGCCAAACCCCAAACACTTCCTGAGGACCTACTAAGCGCTCAGACTGTGCTGAGTGCCACTAAGCCCATAAGGGTATGACATAGTCCTCGTGTCGGAGCTTATGTGTATTAAGCTGAGCCTCACTGAGTCCCAGCACATGGGTTGCCTCAGGCCTTCTGCAACAGGCTGCAGAGGGATTGTAGCCCATCTGAGACCAGCAAGGGCCTTCCTGCCACTGAACACAGACCGGACAATGAGGATTTTGTATGCTTGGGTGGAAGAAGCTTCATTTGGGCACCTGGGGGGCGTCCAGTTCCATGTACTTCAAGGAGCTTAGTTAGGTTTCAGGGGTAGGCATATGAGGAAACTGAAGCTCAGAAAGGATAACTAGTCACACAGGAGGAGGTGGGTGGGCAAGACTGGCTAGGGAGGTGGAGGAGTCTGAAGGCCATATCATGGGGATATGAGGGGGACACAATCTTTTGGTTCTACCTAGGGAACCCTAGCCTGTCAGTTTTGAGCAGCAAATGCCCGCCCTCTGCCCCCACCCCCCACACAGAGGGACTGTGTCCTCCCCAGCCTACAGACACCAGCCTCCCTGGAGAATACATTCAGGCAGAATGGATTCTGGGTAGGTGTCCCCATTTTCCCATACCTGTCACACCTCCTGCTCTCCAAACTGTCCCACTCCATTGTGGAACCCAAATCTATTCCAGCCCAAGGGCTAAGAGAAGACCGGGTGATCCCTGCCATCCCTTGATCCCCTGTTACCTTGGCGACCACAGTGACATAATGGGTCCGGGACATCTCATAGTCCAGAGTAGCTCCAGCTTGGAGGCGCAGCACCCCACTGTGGCGGTCCATGGCAAATTTGGTGGAGTGCAGGTTCTGTAAGAGTTGGGGGAATGGGCCTTGGGGAGGAACCCAGGTCAGCCCCAGGAATGCCTGCTCTGGTCCTCACTGCCCCTTGTCACAGGGAAGCTCTAAGGGCCTTGGAAATAGGGTTCAAATTTTAGAGAATCCAGGTTTTCCAGCCCCAGGTTCCGCTTCACAGCTCAGGGCTTCCCTTCTCACAACCTCAGTCAAAACCAGAATGTTCCCTTCAGGGCTGTTGGTTTTCTAGCATCCCCTAAGCTAGAGAGCGTAGGGGCTAGACATAGCAAAGGAGAGAAACTTTGGAACCTTCCAGCCACACCACGCAAGTGACTGTAGGCCAGTCCCAGGCAGCTCAGCGTGGGGACAGGAGGAGAGCCAGAATGAGGGATGTGCAGAATGAAGGAGGCTGGCAAGGGGCCCCTGCCACTGTGGGTGCTCGGGGGGCCTTCTAGCTGGGTGGGGCCAGGCCCCATGTCCCAGGGCTGTTGTGGAGCTCCACGCGGGTGGAATCCTCACAACCGCCCAGTGAGGATGTGCTTTTTCCTACCTCTCCCGTTTTACACCTGGGGGGATGGAGGGCTGAAGGTCCTGGGGCCCCGGGAAAAGGGAGAAGACAGGCTAACTCAGAGGAAGCCGGGGGGATCCCGTAAGGGAAGAAGGCTTCTGTCCCTCCCACCCAGCCCCTCTTGTTTGTCCCGCCGTACCTGCAGGAAGTAGGTGACACTCCCTCCAGATCCTGTGTCCTTGTCCACAGCATGGACCTTAAAGATGCTGCTCCCAGCAGGTGTGTCCTGAGGGGTCACAGCCACAAGAAGGGTCAGGGGCAGTGATGGGATGCTTGGGGAGCCAGGTGGGCTGTGGAGTGGTGGGGTCAGGGGAGTGAAGGGCTAGAAAGAAGCGAGCGGGTGGGCATCTATACGTGAACCCCCAGCAGGGGGAGGCAGCGTGGGTGCTGGAAGGCAGGAAAGAGGATGTGGCCGGGGCTGGGAGACAGCCTCAGGGAGAGAGGGAGAAGAATAACCCAAGACCCCAAATAGATAAAGGATCTAAATATGAAACGGCAACTCACACATGAGAAAATGGTGCATAAGCACAGACATGTTTAGGCCCATCAAGGACCCACAGACCTATATTTTAAAACAAGAATGAGATACCTTTCTGCTAATGAGTCGGCAAACACTTTAAACTTTACGAGTCCCAGTGTTGGCAAGGGCAGGGGAGACAAGGCATTTCTGGAAAAACACACTGGCAGTTCCTGAGAGGTATGCATGCTTTTGACCCAGGAATTTCAAATCTTGGATTGTATCTTAAGGAAATAATTCTAATTAAAAAAAATGTATGCCAGCAAATATTCAAACTGTCTTAAATATTCAAACATCAGGGAATGGTTCTATAGATGATGGAATATTCACTCGATGAAAGCTATTAGAATGATATTTGTTCTAACTTTACAATTAAGAGGAAAATGCTTATCTTACAAATTAAGTGAAAAATAGGATGTGGAGAGCATATGTTTCGTATAGTCACAACTATGTCAAAGAAACAAAATATATACATAAAGTATACAAAAAGCACTGGAAGGAAATAACACCATAATTTAACACTGTCTCAAGTTGGAGAGATTGAAGGTGATTTTTAAAACTCTTTCTTCCCCTACTTTTCTACATACTTCACATTTCTGCAATAAACATACATTAGGATTGCAATAGAAATTAGCAAATGAGTGGTACTTTGGAACAAAAATGAATGTGGGAGCAAGGAGGGTGACACAGGAGGCTCTCCTGAGGGCACTATTTGATGAACAGGTGTTCTGAACTCCAGACCATTGGGCAACCCCAGTGGGTGGACCAGGGGTTTGGGGTGGCAGTTTACTGACCCCCCACTCACCTCAGGAACCAGGACAACATAAGGCTCCTCGATGAACCTGGGTGCCTCGTCATTGGCATCAGTCACCAGGATCACGACCTTTTCTGCCACCTGAGAAGGGCAGAAAAGTCAGGATTCCAGGTAGTAAGAACTTCTTGGGGCTCAAGGAACAGAGAACTCTAATACCAGGTAGATGTCTCTGTCCATCCTTCCTCTCTCTCCCTCCCTTCCTTCTTTTACATGCAACAAATATTATTGAGCAGTCACTTGGTGCCAAACACTATGTTCCATCCTGGGGAAGGATGATGCCTTATTTTGCCCTGGCTGTGGTGGCTGGGATTTTGGAGCAAAGATCAGTTTATAAAACAATGTGGTGATACCCTCAGGGTGATAATGGGGGCTGTGCCAGACCCTAAGGGTGAGGCTCCCAAACTGCACCACACTGGGGGCACCAAACACATAGTACCCTGCGTAAATGTGTCCCTTAGGGTGTGAGTGCCCAGGGGCCCAGGCTGTGGTGGTGGAGGGCACGGCGGCTTCTCAGGAGTGAGTTAAGCCCTGCCAGAAGGAGAGAAGTGGAAAGGTGTGCCTGGATGATGGGGCTGCGTGTGAAAAGAGTGGAATGCATGGTGAGTTCAGATTTATGGCTAGAGGGTGGGGAGGGTGGGTGTGGGAGAAGTGGCAAGGCAGCTGGCGCCTGATGGGAGGCGCAGAATGCTAGACCAAAGTGTGGCTTTCATCCTTAGGGTGGCAGGGCCAGCCGTAGTGCTTTGTGAGCCTGGATGTGGGCAGATCCACAGTGACAGCTTTGGAGGCAATTGGGGCGAGGAAGCTGGGAGGCAGGGTAGTCCCTGGAGCCTGTCGTAGTCATGGGGGGGGGGCACCGAGGAGATCTGGGGGGAAGTGGCGGCTGTGGGGAAGGCGGTGAGGAGAGCCTCTGCATGTCCAGGTATTCAGCATGGGTGGCTGGGCTGGGGGCCGAGACCTGGGTTGGAGAAGACAGATGGGAAAGGTGGTGGAATGGGGGTTCAACCTATCAGGAGTTCAGCTCAGAGAGCCTGGTCTGCCCCTTTCTTCCTTCCCCTCTGGCCTCTCCTATGGGTACTTAGGCAGGTCTTGCTGGGCTCTGGCTTAAATTTGCTGGGGAGCCTCCCAGCCTCACCCTTCTCCGCCCAAACGCTGCATGTTGCCAGGGGCTGGTACTCACCAGATTCAGGCCGTCAGAAATGCTGATGATAGCTTCAATCTCGTCCTCCCTCTGTAAGGCACAGGGACTCAGTCAGTGTCCGGGGGTCTAACATGCCCTGGGACCCCTGAGCTCTCTCTGGAGTTCTTTCTCCCCCTCACATCAATATGAGGCCTGGGCATGTCCATGGAGCCCTGGTGCAGGGTGGGGCAGTGGTAACCAAGTACCTGGCACAGCTGAAAGCTGCCTCTCCCATGCTGAGATCTTATTTCAGGGCATTTGGTGTCAGGGGTTGTCATAAACCCAGAGCAACTGTGGAGGCCCCAACAGAAGATGCTCTTCTGCCCAAGTGAGGAGAGATGCCCACCCTAGTGTGCTCAAGGCCCCACAAAGAAGACTTTTTTCTTTCTTTTCCTTTTCCTGCCTCTCATTGCTCCATATTCCAGGGTTCTGCACAGCCCACATCCATGGTTTCTCAGTGCTCTCAGGACACAGCGGGACCTCAATGAACAGGGGCATGGGAGGTCACTCAATCCCAGGGTGCTAAGATGGGGTGCTGGCAGCACAGTCACAGCCTCCTCCGGTGTCCCCATAGCAGTCTCTGAGTCCTCCCTTTCCTTCCTCTGTCAGTCTTCTCACAGCTGTGAGTGGATGGTGTCAGGGAATCAGAGCTGGCAGCAGCCTCACAACTAAGGTCCAGTTAAGGAACAGCCCGATGTAGGGCCTCAGAGGGAAACAAAGCTGCCATCGGCAGGTTCAGAGGAGGCAGAGAGGAATGCAGGAGTCCTAGCAAACTCACATTCACTCGCTCAGCCACTCTTTTCAGCCCTGACCTGCTCTGGGTTTCTTAGGGATATACAGGACCTCTCTAGGGACAAGCTTGAAAAAATCATGTTATGAGGTTTCCTTCAATGTGCAAACAGATTTAGCTTTTAATTGAACATGCTTAAAAGATTAGCAGGGCTGGCAGGTGCTCGCTAGAGGAGCGCGACCCTTAGCTCTGTGCGAGTAAAGCCTCTTCTGCCTACGGGGAGCAATGTGGAGATGCCACGGAGTGAGTGTGTTAGGGGAGCCCCTCAGCCCCGACCCTGCAGAGAGGGGACCGTCCCGCCCTCAGAGGTCTGTCTGCAGGTATCCATCCCACAGCACTCCCCGCATCTGCCCATACCTCTCTATCCAGCTCTTCAACCAGAGTGATGTTTCCAAAATTAGGATCAACAGAAAAGACGCTTCTCATGCTCGGGTCAAAACTGATGTGATAGGTGACAGGGTCTCCCTCGGGGTCTGTCCCATTCAGGGTGTAGACATGAGAGCCTGGAAGGAGACACACAGGGGGAGACCTAGAAAGTGGGACCCAACTTTTCCTAAAAGGGGAAGCTGCTCAGGACCAAGGATTCAACTGCTTGTAAAGTCACTATTCAATTCAGTGCCAAAGATACTCCCCAGGGCGCTCGCTGCTGGCCTCAGCCCTGCTGGCTGCCTCTCACTTTTTATCTTTATTCTTCACAGCTGATAGATGCTGTTATCATCACTTGCCTGATTGTAATGTCCAGCACAGATTATGGAGGAAACATAGGTCTGCTGTGCCTAACTGCAGTGCTTATATGTCCCTCTGCCTGGTAATGACTCCTTTCACAGGAGCCAAGACTGGAGGATTCCTTGGGGTTGGGGGCCTACGGGAAAAGGGAGTAGCCATAAAAGAGGAAGGGCCACTTATGGTGCGCCCCAGTATCTGGACTGGCTCCTCAGGGATTTCTGAAGGCTGGGGCCTGTTTTGCTAGATCCTTCTTTTCTCCAGGGTTCCCAACCCCAAAGGATGAGGGAGAGGTAACGTGAAATTCCTCTTTCTCCTTCTCCCTTATCTCTGCCTATCTCAGTCACCTGGATGTTCTCAGGCCATTTTAAAGCCTAGAGACCTGAGGCTCAGGGAGGTAATACATTTGCTCAAAGTCGCACAGCAGGTGAGAGATAGCACATTGCTGCCATCCTGAGAGCCACTGCCTGCCTGCTAGGGTTGACCCTGTCTCTGGGCCTACGCCCTGGTCTCCAGGACTAGCCAAGCTTAGGTCTCCATGGCAGCAGTGACCTCCTTTCCTGCCATTGCTCCAGCGGGATTCGGAGAGCAAACAGGAGGCCCTGGGGAGTGCAGGCAACCTCCATAGGCTCAGAGGTACCACGGGTGTTTTGGTTGGTCCCTAGGTCCAGGAGAAGGCGAGCTACCATGCAGGGAGACCTTGGGGGGCCGTGCGAGGGCTACTCACCCACAGGGGTGTCCTCTGGGAGGCTGAACAAAGCCATGTTTCCATTGGTGCTACCGATCCCGTTGTCGAAGAAGTTGGGGGCAAAGTTGGCTTGGGCTGGGAAGAGAACAGAGACAGAAAAGACCCGTGCAGGAGAGATTTAGCATTACCTGGGTCCGGGCGTCAGGCGCCGCTAGTGGGCAGGGGCTCTCCACCTCCTTGACCCGGTCGCCCCGAGGGACCCCGCTGAGGCGCCGCGGAGAGAGTCCCCCCAGCCCCTCCAAGCCCTAATGGGCTTAGACTGGGCTCGCGCTTGTCAGGGACACACATCTTTTGGGAGCTTAGAACCCAGGTAATGCCCGACCCCACCCCCATCAATGGACGGACTGGGTACCTGCGCTCAGAGAGTGGCAGTGCCCCAGCCAAGGTCACACCGCAAGCCCGGGCGCCCTCCCCTGACCCACGCAGCCATCCTAACAGCCTCCAAACCTCCTGCCCAGCTTCTGAACAAGCGGAGAGCAGCGGGGGTCGGGGCCAAAAACCCTGGGCTCTAGGACGCTGGTCTACTGAGAAACGTCCCGGGAGCTTCCCGCTACCGGCGGGGCCTGGCAGCTGGAAGATTTCCCCTGTCCGGGTCCCCAGCCCGACTCCCACTCTGGAAGCGGACGGCCCAGGACCATGATCCTGTGGCCACCGGATTAAGCGACGGCGCCCACCCCTCGCCCGGCGACCGCTCACCCAGGCAGAGGTGCAGCAGCCCCAGGGCCAGGGCGACCCACGGACCGCGCCCCATGTCTCCTCCGGCGGATAGTGTCGCTTGCCGCCGCCCAGCCGGGCGCAGGAGCACCTAGCATGCCCTGGGTCGGCGAAGAGAGCAGAGACAATGAGGGTGGCGGCGGGAGGGGGCGCGGGGCGGGAGCGCCTGGTGGTGTGAGGGCGCTAAGCGGATGACAGGACTCGGATCTGCGCAGCTGGAGGCTCCTGCGGGTGCCTAAAGAGACCAATTAGTGGGCACAGAGCTGGGAACCAGCTCCCAGCCGCGCTGGGGCAGAAGATCTGATAAGGCCCCTCCTCCTAGTGCCACGTCCCCTTTGCCCCGGGGGTCAGAGGGGCAGGAGCCCAGGGTCCGCAAGTCCGCGAGTCCCAGTATAGAATCCCCATGGATGAGAGGGGTGGGGCGGGCGGGGCGTGCCTTTCCTCCAGGTTATCCGGAGCAGGCGCGGGAAAATTGGGGCTTCCAGGTGTCCCTAAGTCCCGGTAGAGCTGGCGTCCTTTTTCCTTTTCATGAACTTCTCCTGTGACTTTCAGGGGGTTCACCTGGCTCTCTGAGCTGAACATACCTGAAGATAAAACAGCGGCAGGGAAACACCCCAGCTTTTGCGAGGGTGATCCCTGAAGGAGCAATGAGAGGAGGGGAGAAACGGAGTGGAGGTTGGGGGGAGGGCGTCGCCTTAGCAATCGCAGGAGGTCCCAGGAATGTGTTAGACCCTGAAACAGGGTCAAAGAAGAGGGGTGGTGAGGAGGGCAGCAGATGGCTGGTTATGAGGACCCCGGTGTGGGGTCTCAACCCATGCCTGTTCTGTCCAGGGGCCAGGCCAGCTCTCAGGGGCTCTGCTCTGTGTGAGGCAGCAGGGCTGGCCGCTCAGGTTTCCACCAAGGTGAGAGGCAGAAGGTCCCAGGCAGCAGGACTAACTTCTCCTTCCCACCCCCACCCCGACCAGTGCCAGTCTGGTGACGCAGAGGGGTAGCAGACCACTCTTCAAGAGGTACAGGGAAAAGTGAAAGGTTTGAAGGAGGATTTAAGCACCATCTTGGGACAGACTTGCACAGAGCTGGCCAACATAGGACTGGGCCACCCCAGGAGGGGAGTAAGCTCCCCATTCCTGGAGGTCCACTGGGCAAAGCAAGGCACTGCAATGGGGGCCCTGGGTGGCTGATAACCAGAAGGAGTAAGCCCAGGAGCCTTCCTGGTTGCTGCTCAAGTTCCCTGGGCTGGACCCTCATTCTCTTCCTCTGACACTGGAGTGTGCTTGGGAACGCAGTCTGTCCTCCTTCTGGCTGGGCCACAGGGTGGTTACTTTGAGCTCAAGTCAGGTCACTTCCTATGATGCCCCTGGGAGTGTATCCCCACACTGTGGAAATGACTTTGTGTGCTCCCTGAAGAGGCCTTCACAGCTGGGGTCTCAGGATTCCTCCCCAGGGGCCTTCACTCAAGGGGGTAGAGCATCCTCCAGTGCCTGGGTCAGGACTTCTTTACCAGCTGTTAGCAAGAGTCAGGGATTCAGGGAGAAGGAGGGAGAAGATGAGTCAATGGTCTTAGGCTGTCCAGCACTTTCTAGGCCAAAACTCTTTCTTGCTGAATCCCTTTGGGCCTGGCCCTTAGCCTAAAAAGATGCACTTTAAATTGCACAGATGTTTTTGTATCTTGGCTTCATAAAATAGTGGGACAAAGCCAAGGCCAGTGTTCCACAAATCCTATATAGGGATGAGGAGATTGAGGCTTGCGATGGGGCACCCAAGAGGCTAGACGCAGAGCTCAGATTTCTGGAGCCGATGCCTTGTCTGTGTGCTGAGCAGAGCCTGCCTCACCAAAGAGTGCTGGGGCCTTCAACTTCTCTCTGTTCAGTTCACTTTGTTCACAGGCTTGCCCTGGAGAGGCATAGGAAAGGAGTAACCAAGTGCTAGCTGTTTGCACTTGTATTCTTTACCCAAATTATCTCATTTAACCTGCACAGCCCTCTTGGCATTATGGTTCCTGCTTTTCAAAAGGAGTTAAAACTCAGAGAGGGTAAGTCACTTGCTCAGGCATGCACAGCCCATGAGAGGCAGAGCTTGGATTCACAGGCAGTTTCAACTGGCTTCAAACAAATTTAGAACTCTTTCCCTGGCAAAGGTAGATGATCATGAAGCTGCTGAAGTTTTAGGTTCTGCACATGCCTTGCATAGCCTTAATTTCTTTCTTTTTTTTTAGAGACAGAGTCTCACTTTATTGCCCTCAGTAGAGTGCTATAGTATCACAGCTCACAGCAACCTCTAACTCCTGGGCTTAGGCGATTCTCTTGCCTCAACTTTCCGAGTAGCTGGGACTAAAGGCGCCTGCCACAATGACCAGCTCATAGCCTTAATTTTATATTTACCTTTTTTACTCTTTTAAAAGAGAGAGAGAGAGAGAGATGGGATGTTACTATGTTGCCCAGGCTGGACTTGATCAAACTCCTGGGCTCAAGTAAGCCTCACACCTCAGCTTCCTGAGTACCGGGGACTACAGGAATGAGCCACCACACCTGGCTTATACATTTTTTTTTCTTAAAAAGACTTCTCCCACTTCAATTGTACCAGGTTCGGATCTGCTAGAATGACCAGCTATCCCAGTTTGCCTGGGACTTAGGAGTCTCCAGGAATGTAGGACTTTCAATGATAAGATAAAAAAAAAGTCCAGGGTAACCTGGGATGGGGTGGTCACCCAGATGTGACCCAGTCCTCAAAGCACCTAAGAACGTGGGAAAGCAGCAGCTCTTCCTTTATTCTCACTGTAGGCCCTGACCTTGACCATGCAGTATGGAGGGTCTGAAAGCTGCCTGGAGGTGAACAGCTCCTGCCATGAGACATAGGGCTTGGCCCTCACCCACAGACCTGAGCAGCCTCAGGGCAGTCACCCTGTCCTCCACACGCACACCACCACTGCAAGGGGATAAGCTCCCTCTCTCCTGGGGCTTCCCTGCCATGGCACTTATGATGCAGAACTAAAGCAGGTCATCTTTAGGTCAGCTTCTGACAGCTTTTCCTCGGGTGGATTTATGGCAGCTGGTCTAGCTGTTGATAGGGAAGAATTTGAGTTATCAGCTGCCAGCCTCGGCATGCATGTGTGTTCCAGTTCAGTCTCCCAACAGTACAACCCAAGCTCCGATGCACATCAACCTCCCGTGCACACCTTTGCCTTTATCTGGTCTTCCTGAGTGCACTAACCCACTCTTCCTTGCCACGTGCACAGACACATTCACATAGCTGCCCATAAACACACACACACACCCAGAAGCTCTAGTCCCATTTACAGATCCATCTGTACACACAGACACGCATATCCATCTACGTGAGGCCATACACATCTCATCTCCCCAAGCAAACACACATGCACTCCTGCACTGAGAGAGGGTGGGCAGGGTGCCTTCCAGGCTATGTTTGATCCTGAGGATGTGGCAAGCAGCATATGCCTGCAATCCAGGTTCCTCTTCCTGATGACCCTGACCAAAGTGGGCACAAGCGCACGTACACAGTTGCCCAGATGTTCAGCGCTCTGCTTCTGCCCCAGTGGCCTGGAATGGGAAGGGTGATACTGTCTGGCAGACTGACTTCTGCTCCAGCACACTGGTGTCCTGAGTTACTTTGCAGGGTCCCAACAAAATTGGGGACCAAAACACAATGACTGTTCATAACAAGAAATCCCTGGTCCAAGGCAGAGTTTGGTATTAATCATGATAAAATACTGTCAGGCAACTGGGGGTGGTGGATCATGCCTGTAATCTTAGCACTCTGGGAAGCCCAGGTGGGAAGATCCCTTGAGCTCAGGAATTTGAGACCAGCTTGAGCAAGAGGGAGACCCCATTTCTACTAAAAATAGAAAAACTAGCCGGTTGCTGTGGCAGATACCTGTAGTCTCAGCTACTCGGGAAGCCGAGGTAAGAGGAATGCTTGAGCCCATGAGTTAGAGGTTGCTGTGAGCTAGGCTGAGGTCATGGCACCCTACCCTGGGGCAACAGAGTGAGAGCCTGTCTCAAATTAAATAATAATAAAATAAAACACTGGGCCTGGATGTGTTGACTGTGCTGGGTATACCCTCTCTGATTCAATTCTGTCAGGTACTATCTCTCTCAACCCAGGTGAGATCCTGAGGACTGCCCTCTGCAGAGCTGGTCCACGGTGTATCAACATAGTCAGAACGTGGGAGTGGAGACTGAGGTTAGAAGCTCAGCTGTGGTCTAAGGTGTACCCATATGGTCAGAAAGTAGGAATGGAGACTGGGGTTAGAAGCTCAGCTGTGGTCCAAGGTGTACCCATATGGTCAGAAGGTGGGAGTAGAGGCTCTGGGGTTAGCTTTTCAGGGTGCCTGAGAAGCCCTGGATACACATCTACTGTGACATGTCCTCCTTCTGCTCCCTTGCTGTGCCCAGGCCAAGTGTTGCCTCTGACATGAGGACGAGATCTCTTTTCTATCAGTCTGAGGCTATGCCTATTCCTTTAACCAAGAAATTTTGCTGTGCCACCTGTTCCCTCATCTAATGGGTTAGTGGCCCCCGGTAGCCTTCTGCCCACTGACCCTCACTCTGGCATTGTGATGCCTCTACTATCAACATGACATTCACACAGGCGGGCACAATCTCGAGCTCTGACTTTGCCTAACTTTGCCCTACAGTAGTTTCCTGCAACATGGCTCAGCTTAGATAGAGGGACACATCAAAGAATGTCTCTCTCCCAGAAAATTATTTTTCTTGGCATGCCTCTGCCTCCAAGCCGAATTGACCAGTATCTGGAATCTTGACAGAGCCCATAAAAGACTTTAGTTCTGTAAACTGCCTGTATGTCTCTCCCAGAGGACTGTGAATCATTCGGGAATGAGGCTGTCTTTCAATCAGAGGTTGTTTTACTATTAGCACAGGCCCTGGCACACAAAGGGTTCTCCATGGGTAGGTGTTGACTAGCTGAATGCATGAGGGAATAAATGAATGAATGAAGAAACATCTGATAATGTCCTAAGTCTTGATTTCTGGTTGAGGCCTTTGTTACACTCTTTCCTCATCCATTCATAAATTGACAGAGTGGAGTAACCAGGGAGTATAAACCACAGATGGCTGCTGAGCTAGGCAGGAAATGGAAATGTGTGAAACAGCTGGTTGAAAGGCAATAGGGAGTTGTGGAGACTATGGCACACGTGTGTGTGCACGTCCACAACATACTTAAATATTGAGTTGAACAGGCAAAATGTTTGCATTTAAGAGGGGAAGGGACTGGTCAGGGCAGACATCTTATATTTGGAGCCATCCCCACCAATCTTTTTGGTTCGTACTTTGCAAGTCCTGAGGGGCAGTGCAGTTTAACTGAGGTCGAAGAGCAGATGAATGCCAAAGACCTTTTGCAGAGATGGAGCTGTCGGTAGTATGAGTCTGCCAGTTGTTTCTGGAGCTGTCTGCATATTACCAGGCTCCTGGTAAATGGGCAAGATTCAGCCACCATCAAGGAGATCAGACTAGAGTATAGGACACCCTCATATCCTAGAAGTTTCATGATGCTTTCAAGGCAGGAAAAATGACCGTAGAATTGGTAGGTGAATTACTGCGTGATCATTAACCAGCTGCATGGCCACTGCGGGGCTCCGGAGGCAGCTTACTCAGTGTGCTTTGCCCAGAGATAAGCTAGGAGGTAAAGTAGTTCCAGCCTCATGTTGCAGATGGGGAATATGACACTCTGAGCAATCATATGAGCTCCCCAATGTCACACAGGGGGTGCAGGACAGAGCCATTGTTTGAATCCAAATCTGTGTTGGAAGCTCATGGTTATCGATTACATCAGTTACCTTTAGGCAGCATGGGTACCTTTTGGTGCCATGGAGACCGCTAATAATGCTACCTGTAACCTGCAAATGTGTCTATATTCTTCATAGAGTCAATAAAGGCAAAGTTAAAGTATTCCACATTTTTCTTTTCTTTTCTTTTTTTTCTTTTGAGACAAAGCCTCAGTCTGTCACCCGGACTACAGTGCCATGGCCTCAGCTTAGCTCAAAGCAGCCTGAAAACTCCTGAGCTCAAGCTATCCTCCTGCCTCAGCCTCCTGAATAGCTGGGGTATAGGCTCATGCCATGACACCTGGCTAATTTTTCTTTTTCTTTCTTTCTATTTTTTTTTTTTGTAGAGATGGGGGTCTCACTCTTGCTCAGGCTGTTCTCAAACTCCTGACCTCAAGCAATCCTCCTATTTCAGCTTCCCAGAGTGCTATAACAGCCCTGAGCTACCACTCCTGACCAAGGATTTTGGTTTCATTATTTTGCAGTCAGTCCAGGCGTTTGAGTTTTCCCCCTAGCTTGAATAGCCTCAGTCATAAGACTTTTCCTGTTGACTCAACTTACCCTTCTAGAATGAAGTTCTCCTACTGCTGAGAAAGTTTAAAAGTGCGTGTTGCAAGCTCCGGAGGCAGCCAGAGAGAGTGGGAGGAAAAGTTTTAGCATCTTTATGGGAAGTGGCACCTGCCTCCCAGGGGTCCATGGATACCAGGTCTGCATGGGCATCTCTGTTTGCTTGGGAATGGGTCTGAGGCTTTCTCTTACTCCACAGAGGAAGGACAGATGGGCAGATGGGACAGGGGGTGAGGATGGGCAGGTCAGACACAGGGTCCTCAGCTCCCTTTTGTATTCTCACCTTTGGCTTGGGCTGCTCTGAGGGGCTGGTGCCCAGGAAGCCTCCTGGGGTTGCTGCCCACGCTGTCCAAGGCCAGCCTCTTTCTTGCATCATTTCATTGTGAGTAGCTCACAGCCATGGCCCAGCAGTCCTGGCCTTCAGAGAAGGCGCTCCTTCTTTTCCCCTGCGTCAGGCTGTGTCTTCCTTTCATATGTGTACTTGAGATATCTGGTCTTCCCTACCCGTGTCCCTCAAAAAAGTTGAAGCTTCTGGGGCTTGTGCTTTCCTTTGCTCTCGGAGCACCTGGTCTTTGAGTTTCCCCCGGCGACTCTCACGCACATGTGTTTGGCTTTATGATTTATTCTTTTCCTTTTGGTGGGGGGTGGGGTAGAGAAGGAGGAAAAGGGAGAGGAGGAGGACACAGGACGGCCAGCTCTTCCTGCTGGTGGGTGAGGGATCCACCTTGCCAAGGGAGTTCCTGGTGAGGGTCTGCCATGCTGGGAGCAGTTGCCGTGGGTGTGTCCTGAAAAGCCCCCAGCTAACCAGTCTCCCAGTGTTCAGGCCCTGGCCTGCCTCAGCTCCAGCCCATTCTGTCTCTGGATGGCCCTTTCACCAGCATTCTTGCCTGGTCACGCATACCTCTGTCTCTTTCCTGTTCTCAAGATAAACCCCAAACACCCAGTGACATTCCACAGGGGTGTCTAACCTATGGCTCTCAGGCCACATGCTAATTTTGTGAGGATTTTTTTTGCTTATCTGCGGTGGAGTCAGATATCACAAAAATGTGTGCACGGACCTGTTTATGGCTAATCAGCTTTCAGTAGTGTTTGTGTATTTGCTGTGTGTCCCAAGACAATTCTTATTGTTCCAATGCATGACAGAAAAGAAAAAAGATTGGACACCCCTGTTGTGGTCTTCCTTGGCCTGGGTGAACCCTCTATTTCCCCTCTTAGGCCCTTCCGTGGCTGTCCAGTTCCTGAATTCTCCTCAAACACTGAAGTCTTCCTGCCTGGCCCTCCCTGTGCCCCTGGTTCATCCCAACACACTCCACATACCACACAACACACCTACCACACACACCACATACACCACACATGGCAAACTACATACCACACGTATATCACATACACTAAACACAACACCACACATAATGTAGTCACACCGTGCAACACAATACACCATACATAAATCACACACACCACACATATGCTACACATACCATAGACACCACACACACCACACATACACCACACAAAAACCACACATGCCATACACACCACACACTACATTTCATATACTACACACACATCACATCACACACACAACACCACACATATGTAGTACCACACCATGCACCACTCACCACACATACATATACATAAATCACACACACCATATGCATACACACCACACACACACCCTCACATACCACATATATACCACACACTCCACACATGCCATACGCACCACAGACACATCACACACACACCTCACATATACCACACACATCACTAGACATCAGACATACATATACACACATCACACACACAACACCACACATATGTAGTACGACACCATGCACCACACACATATACATCACACTCACACACCATGTGCCACACATATACCACACACTCCACATATACCATACACACCACACACACCACCACAACACCACACACATGTAGTACCACACCATGCACCACACACCACACACATATACATAAATCACACACCACACACATACACACACCTACATATCATTCCACACACTCCACGCAAACCACACACACCACATATACCACACATACACCCGTATCTCCCACAGCCCCCACTCCCATCCCACCTCACACCACACACACCACACCCCTTCTCTATCCTAAACTGTCCCACTAACTCAATCTGAGCATGTGCTCCCTCCCCGGCCCTCTGTTCTCACCTCCATGCTCACAGTTCTGTGGAGCAGCAATGGCCTCTTTGACATCAAGGACCACTTTTGCTCATCTTTGAGCCTCAGAACCCAGCACAGAGTCTCACAACTGCTACCCCAGGATGGATGACAGTGGGTGGGTGAGCGAGCTGTGAGTGAAGCTTAAGAAAGGGTGGTGCGAGGCCTGTGACAAGATAGAGACTCTGTCATGCCCTGGTACTGCCCCCCCCAGAGCCCTGGGACCAGGGAGGGCCTGGTGTTCTCAGACATGGCTGTGGGCTTCTCACCTCACCATGAGGATCGGATTAGAAGGGAGCTTTACTGAGAGATAAGTCCCTTAGACCTGAACCATCTGTTCCCTCAGAGGCTCAGCTCTGCAGCGGTGTTCACTGGAGGCACAAACACTCCCCCAGCACTTCCCTGAATCAACCTCCTCTGGGTCCCAGGCCCTTGTGGGCACTTACATCTGTCTGCTTGCCCCCTGGATAGGTCCTGTAATCTCTATTTTGTGGAAAAGGCCCAGGCTACACAGTCCTGGGCTGGGCTAGGCTTTGAGTCCTGGTGTGTTGGACCTGAGGACTGGGTCCTGCCTCTGCCTCACACAGCTGGATGGTGCTATGATGAAGGGGTGTCCTGCAGGGAAGGCCTCGGGGACAAGTTTCTTTAGCGACAAGTTGTGGCTCAGCCCTATCACTGACTCTCTTAAATAAGGCTGCTCCCTCCATTTGTTGGTCTATTTATTTATCATTTGTTTGTTTGTTTGGATTGGATCTGTTTCCAGCAGACTCATGTTGGAAGTCAGGATGGAATTTCCTTCGGGGTCATGGGATGCTGTGGGGTGTTTAATGCCAGGAGATCGAATGGATCTAAGGAAGGCTGAAACTTTGCAGTCTTGGTTGGCTTGGGTGCTCGCTACCCTGTACTCTCGCAGGCTCAGATGTCTCTGGAATTGTAGCTGCACAGGTCATGGTGGAATCCTCATCTACCAGCGCTGAAAGGGTGATGAGAGGATGGAGGCCCTGTGGGCTGAGGCATTCTGAAGGTCGATGGCATATTTGGGACTGGGACTAGGAGTTCTAGAACTCTCCCAGGGCCCTTGCTGCCTAAGATGAAGCCCTCCAACACTGCCGCTCATTGCCCTGAAAGTTGAAAGGGGCACCTGGGGGCTGCTGGGCATCTTGGGTGCTGGGCAGGAGGGTCTCCGCTGTCCAGAGGCTTGCTTCAGGAGCGCTACACCTGTGGGAGCGCCCCAGGCACCACCCAAGAGCTGGTCCCGGGCTTGACCTTGCAGGTCCTGCAGACCCTGACGCGAAGTCCTAGGTAGACAACAGGGACAGGAGCAGGAAGGTGGAGAGGCAGGCAGAGCAGGTGGAGAGAGGGAGGAAAGCATAATTAAGATTCAGTTTTGAATTTTTTTTAAAAATCAGAACAAGAATTAGATATTGCCTGTCTTCTTGGAGGCCCAGAAAGGGACTTTCACGACAAACACTACCAGCTCAGACTACTCAGTCTCAGCAGGGGGAAATCTCGTTTCCTGAAAGAAGATACAGGGAAGGCAGCTTATCCTGAGAGGAACCCGTCTGAGTTGACTGCAGTCTGGGAGGCCTGTTCTTGCTGGCTTTGGTAGGAGGGTCTGCCACATGGACACATAGAGCCTCAGACACCTCCCCTGCCATCTCCTCCCAGACAGCAGGTGCCTGGCAATCAATATGTGCCCTAAGCCACATCTGCATCTTTTAAAAAAAAATTAATGTTTCAGGTTAATTTGAGGGTACAAAGAATTAGGTTGCAATGTTTGCATTTGTTAGGGAGAGTTCCTCTTATAATTGTGTCCCATCCCCAAGAGGAGTGCCATACACTCTAACATCGTGCCTAGTAAGTGAGAGCACACCCAGCGACCTCCCTCCTCTCCTCTCTCCTTCATTCCCCCATCCCCCGCCTTGAATTGACTTGAGTTTTTCTCTTATGTGGGCATGTATTAAATCATCTGCTGGCTTCAATATTAGTATTGAGTACATTGGATTTTTGCTTCTCCATTCTTCTGATACTTTACTAAGAAGAATGTGTTTCATCTCTACCTAGGTTAATACAAAAGATGTAAAGTCTCCATCTTGTTTATGGCTGAATAGTATTCCATGGTATTATACAAACACCACAGCTTGTTAATCCATTCCTGGATTGGTGGGCATTCAGGTTGTTTCTGCATTTTGGTGATCATAAACTGAGCTGTGATAAACAATCTAGTGCCAATGTCCTTATAATAATATGATGTTTTTTCTGTGGGTAGATGCCTACAAGTGGGATTGTGGAGTCAAGTGGAAGTTCTAATTTGAGTTCCTTGAGGATTCTCCATATTCCTTCCAAAGAGATTGTATTAGTTTGCACTCCCAAACATTTGCATCTTTTGACAAACCATTCCCCTTATTGGGAAGAATAATCCATCAGAAAAAAATCTGCATCCATTAAGTTATTCTTTATAGTAACTGCAGAAAAAAAAATTCTGGACACAACTTGAATATCCCATGCTAGAGAAATGCTTAATTCGTCCTGTTACCTTATGGTGATAGAAATGCTTCCTGGGGACAAAACCCCGTGGTTATGAAGACTATGTAGCAACACAAAGAAAAAAGGCTTATGACCTAATTCTAATTCAGAAGTTAAAAAACAGGGTAAAGAAAAATAAAACCAGGCAAACATGTTTGTATAAGAAGAACAAATGCTGGATGATTCCACCTGTGTGAAGTATCTAAAATATTCAAACTCATTGAAATAGAGAACAGAACGGTGATTGCCTGGGGCTGAGGTGGGATGGGAGAAAGGGGAGTTGTTCTCATAGAAAGCTTCGATGATGCAAGACAATTAGTTCTAGAGATCTGCTGATCACAGTGCCTTTAGTTTATAACACCATACTTTACGTACACTGAAGCATGTAAGAGAGATTTCAAGTTAAGTGCTTTTACCAACCCCCTACCAACACACAATGCAGGGTGGGGAAAACTTTTGGAGGTGACGGATATGTTTATTACTTTGATTGTGGTGTTAGTTTCATTGGGTGCATGCATATATTCAAATCCATCAAATTGTATACATTAAATATGTGTCGTTTTGTATATCAATTACATCTTAATAAAGCTGTCAAAATTTTCTTTAAAAATACCTTTGTATTTTTCGAAAAATGAGACATATATACATGAGAAGGGTTATTAAGTTATTGGTCGTGAGATTATTATTTTTTTCTCCTTTTCCTAAATTCTTAACTGTATGCAATGTGGTGTGATAGTTAAGAATATAGAATCTGGAGCTAGCTTATTTAGAGCTCACCTCTACCACTTATTAGCTGTGTGATTTTCAACAAGTTGCTTAACCTCTCTGAGCTTTAGTCCCTCATCTGGAAAAATGAAGATAGTAATAGCATCTAACTCTTAGGATTATTTGAAGCATTAAATAAATTAGCAGACATAAGCACTGCACCTAGTAATTAATATGTAAAGCACTAGCTCCACAAAAACAGAATTTAATTATCCTAACTCTTCCATAGCCTCATGTCTTAATCATAAGTAACTGCTAAATTGGTGTGGATTTCTTTCTCGTTTCTCTCCCTATTTGAAAGTGCTTTTATCTTCCCATAGTGATAATAATCGTAGCAACATACAATGTAACCTACTCTTCGTCACGAATACCATGTCATGAGAATTTTCCACCAGCTTTTCTGAGGGAGACCCATGATCTGACCGTCACTGCCCCTTTGCTCCCTGTCGCCATCCTCAGATCCCAAGACCTTCTTCTCTGGCTCCTACAGTAAATATTGGTTTGACGGATTGCAAATAGGGTCCCAATTCTCCAGCCTCCTCTGCAGCTTCTCCCATCAAGATATGGGGTCTGTCTCCTTGTTCTCAGAATCTGGGCTGGCCTTGAGACATGCTTTGGCCAGTAGAATGTAGTGAAGATGGAGCTGGGCAGTTCTGAGCCTTCACTCCAAGGGGATGTGTGTGTTTCCATTCACATAAGTAGAACCCTGCAACCTCCGTGTGCACATGTCTGGGCTAGCCTGCTGACAGAGGAAAGACCATGTGGAGGACAGTCCAGTTGTTCCTACTGAGACTATCCTAGACTCACAGACCATAGCCCCAAATATGTAAGAGCACAACAGCCAAAGTCCACAGAGCTGCCTGTCTAAACATTAGACGAATGAATGAACCTAGGCAAGAGTGGAAGAAATACCTGCTGACCTGTAGACTTATGGAAAATAATGATTATTTGCTGCTTTGGGTAACCAAAGTTGGGGGTGGGATGTTATGCATAGTGCTAACAGATCTGAGGAAGATCATTGATCTGAGGCCCCTCTGATGAATCCCCCGGGCAGGATGGGCTGTGGCTGGCCAGCCCTCTCTATCACCTCCTTCCCTGGGTCCATTGTTCTGGGCCCTCATGTCCACACTGGTACCATTGTTGCTGACAATTTTATGCCATCAATGGGTAACCTTTGTTTCTGCAGTCTAAGCCCCTTGCTGAAGGCAGAGACAATCCTGTAAAAACAAAGGAATTACTCTGTGCCCCTTCCCCGAGTTTCCCACTAGAGTTGAATCATTTTGCTGGGCTTCAAAACAGCAAGGGTTGGATGGAGCTCTCAGGACCCAAGTGATGTCTCAGGTTCCAGGGTCCAACCCACATGATTCCTGCAATCTTCCCAGGAGCTCCTTCCCTGCCAGCCCCAGGACGGAGGCCCGTGGGTCACACCCTGACTAGAGGGGTCCACATAGCCATCAGTCTGGCTCCAGGTTAAGCCTGAGCAGCCCTGGGTGTGGCCAGTGCCTGATGCCCCTCAAGGCCAACATTCCTTTACAAAAACTGCTGCGATGACAATGCTGCTATACAGATTGCTATAAAATTTCTAAATACTTCAGAGAATGCCTTTTTAAAAAGTGAACTGGCGAATGTGATAAATTCAGCAAATCTGCCATTAAGGATGTTAATTTTTGATGATGGCTGTTACCTTGACCCAGAACCCTGGGCCTTCCATGTCTTGCACCCCCCTGGGCCTGGCAGGGTGCTGAGATATAATGCAGGAGCCAAGGAGGACACTTTGGAAAGGGTTGTCTGGTGCTGTCTGCTCATGGACATCAAGGCCGCTGGGTTAACTTCTCCTTCTATAGGCAGACACATGGGCACTCTCCTACGTCAGTGAACCTGATTCTTGGAACCTGCCACAGCCAACAATCCCCCTGCCACTTACAACACCCTGGGAACACTGGCTTGTCTTCTCCCTCTGTCGCTCTGAATCCCTGTGACAGCCCCATGAAAGGGCAGGTGGAACTGTCATCCCCAGGAGGGCACGGGCTTTGGTTTTCTATGGTAGAATTTCTGGTCTCTCCTTCCACAGCAGCAGCTATGATCACAGGGCATCATGTGGCAGGCTGGGTGCTAAATGTTATACAGACATAACCCTGCCGACTCCTTACTATAGCCCTGTAAGGTCAGTTCTATTAATACCAGCATACCCTTTTCACAAAGGAGGAACCTGAGGCTTGGCAGTGCTGGGTGACCTGCTCAAGGGCACACAGCTAGTGGGTGGTGCAGCTGGGATCCTGGCCCAGATTGCACTGTCCTTGTGGGAAGTCTGCCGTCTTGCTCACTTGGGCACACCCACAGCTCCGTACACATTCTCCAGGACACTTTCTCTCTTGGGTGGGGCAGAAGTACTTTGTTGTAGTGGGGAAAGGGAGACTAGATGGTGGTTTCTTTCTTTTTGTTTGAGACAGAGCCTCAAGCTGTCCCCCTGGGTAGAGTGCTGTGGCATCACAGCTCACAGCACCCTCCAGCTCCTGGGCTCAAGCGAGTCTCCTGCCTCCACCTCCCAAGTAGATGGGACCACAGGCACCTGCCACAATGCCTGGCTATTTTTTGGTTGCAGCTGTCATTGTTGTTTTTGGCGGGCCCAGGCTGGATTCGAACCTGCCACCTTAGGTGTATGTGGCTGGCGCCTTAGCCACTTGAGCCACAGGTGCCGAGCCTACATTGTGGTTTCAAGCTCTGCCTCAGTTTCTTTCTGAGCCTCATTTCCCAATCTATATACAACAGTGACAAGACCTCCCTAGGGTGGTTCCAAAGACTTAAATCACATGGTAAAGACCCAACAAATATGTTTCTTTCATTCTTCTTGCTTTATCTATAAATTTCTGCAATGGAATTTTAAAAATATACACATGAAAAGAAGTCCAGTCTCAACATAGGAGCACAGACCTAGCTCATTCTCCCTCAGGATTGTACCTAAGTGCCTTTGTACTGTGCACAAGGGGTTAACTTAGTCATGTTTCCTAGGAACCGTTTGTGCCTGTGTGTGGTGTTATGTGTGTGCAAGAGTCTCTCTGTGTGTAGTGTGTGTACATGTGTGGGTCTCTGTGTGTATGACAGTGTGTGTGTACATGATATATCTGTGTGTGCAGTCGTGTTTGTGTCTGTGTGTGGTGTGTAGTGAGTAGTACGTGTGTGTGTTCACATTACCACCTCTAAGCTGCAGAAGGGAAGGGGAGAGGGGAGGGTATGAGCCCCCAGCCCTTCCTGGGGCAGCCCCCATCTCTCATTTTGGAAGCTTTTCACCTTCTTTCACAGAATCGCCCTCCTCCTCTCCTCTGCCAGGCCTGGGGGAGCAGAGTGGCAGCCAGCACTCACCCCCACCTCGCCTGGGCGGGTGCTTCACACTCTAGTTCAGTGAGGAGTGTGTGAGAACTGGCTATTTTTACCCAGGCCCAGCTGGGTGTGATGCCAGTTTGGAAGGAGGGGTTGTCACTTCTCCAGGAGAAAAGGTCTGCGGCTAGAGCCATCCTGTCTCCCTCCCTCTACCCACCCCTCATTTATATCCGAGATCCCCCTTCCTTCAATGGTCAGGACTCTCCATGGCTAGGAAGGGCATGGAGACTCTGGCCCTGGTCACGGCTCCCTGTGCTATGGCCTAGAGAGTAGGGCAGGGGCTTTCCCTGTCTCCCAGGGGAGGCCACAGAGACAGCCTTAGATTGGTATTGGACTGTCTGGTTCAGGCTCTGCAGCTTTCCAGTGGGGCTTGCCTGTCTCATGCTCTGAGACCCTCCTACCAAAGGCAGCAGAGACCCATAGCCCTAACCTCTCACCTGGGCCAGGCAACTGCAGTGCCTCAGTCTGCCCCCAGCCTGGAGCCCCCATGTCGGGAGATGGATGCCTATAGCCCTTCATGGCCTTGGGCCTATCTCCTTCACTGCTGGTATCTGCCTGGCCTTGCTTGCTCTTCTGGACCTTAGCCTGGGTATGGAGCATGGAGGCTGCCTGCCTATACCTCAGGGGACTGTCTCACCCCCCATCACCTGGGGCTCTCTGGACCCATGTGCTCTCTCCTGCTGGAGACCATGATGGGCAGCTTTAGTTGGCGGCTGCTGTGAGCACCCTTAGACCCGGCTCCTAGCTCTGTCTTTCCTACCTCCCTCTTGCCCATCCTGTGAACAGCTCTGCATACACCCCCCACCATTGTCTGATCCCATTCTGCTTCTTTCCTTGACAGATATATTTGGTTCAGAACGATTAATTTTTTGCTCTTCTGGGGGGATCTGTTCCCCCTATTGGATTGTAAGTTCCACGAGGCTGAGAGCACACCTGATGCAGCCCCCTTTGGACCATGCCAGATCTCAGCAGTGTGGCCGGAGCTGATCAGTGTGTGCAGCTTGTTCACGCCCCCACAGACCCTCTGCCACCCCCATGGGCACCCCCCTGCTTACCTCTCAAGTTGTGGTTAGACACTCTGCGGCAGCAGGGCCTGACCCTCAAGGGCTTGGGAGACTTCCGCCCTGAGGGGAGACACAAAGGAGCAAAGACCCTCCCTTGGTGAGTTTGTTTGTGCAGGAATGAAGTGAGGGAGCTTCCACTCCCCAGTCCCGGGAACCTTTATTCAAGTAAACCCAGGAGCCAGGCTACAGTAGGGCCAGGGGAAGGGTGGGCCCTGTCGTAATTTACTTGTCAGAAAATAACAATGATAGGAGACACTCTGCCCCCAGAATGCATCCTCCTCACGTTCTTGTCCCAGCAACAGTTCTGACAGTGACTCGAGAATGTCTCTGCCCTTCCACAGTCATTCTCTCCTTGGGGACCTAGTCCAAGAAAATAACCCTGAATATAGGAAATACTGTGTGTACACATATGTCTTTTGCCACATCCTTAAAATAGTGCAAAGTTGTGAACTATCTAAATGTTTAAGCACGTGTATTTATGATAGCACATTCGCTGGCTGGCAAGTTATACCTAAAAATATTAGTTCAATAACACCACTTCAGGAATCTGCTAGAAGTAGTCTTAAATGGATAGAAAAGTTTATGGGCAAAAAAATCCATCCTCACTGAATTGTCATTACGGTAACTTTGGCAACATGTCCAAATATACAGGTCTGATAAATTGTGTGCCATGGACTGTGTTTATGAGGAATTCTATTTACTGTTTTTCTTACATGTGGCACATTTGCACTGCAGAAACTTTAGAAAACAAATAGTCTCTCTGCTCAGAGATGGCAGCTGCTGACATTCTAGCATAAATGCTTTTAGTATAATTTCAATCATATGTATTTTGTGTTATTATAACACAATGGTAAATAAAAAATATGTCGAACATATAGTCAACATAGAAAGATACATCAAGTAAATTTTAAAATGCTGCATGCAAGATTGAAAGTAGGCTGGACGTGGTGGCTCACACCTGTAATCCTAGCACTCTGGGAGGCTGAGGCTGGAAGCTTGCTTGAGTTCAGGAGTTCAAGACTGGACTAAGTAAGAGTGAGACCTTTGTTTCTACTAAAAGTAGAAAAAAATTAGTCAGGCATTATGGCAGGCGCCTGTAGTCCCAGCTGCTCGGGAGGCTGAGCCCAGGAGTTTGAAGTTGCTGTGAGCTAGGCCAGAGCACTCTAGCCTAGAGTAGCAGAGTGAAACTCTGTCTCAAAATAAAATGAAATAAAAATAAAACAAAATAAAATTCATAAACTGAGCTGATTGTATTAAAAAGAACATAAACACAATGGTAAACATGGTTATTCTTGAGTCATGAAATTACAGATGTCTCCCATCTTTATATATTTTTATAACCCTGGCACCAATAAATGTTAGAATAACCATAACTGCCACAACAAAAAAAAAAAGTAGGAAGTTTCTAGATGGTTAGGCAAAGGAAAAGCTTGAAATACTCAGTTATCTGAACCAAGAAAGGTAGGAATTCCAAATCTTCATATAACTATAGAGGTGAACAGACCATGTTCTCCACTTTTGAACACACATAAACATATTCCATACCACACACACCCTCACGCCATCTACCCACGATTGTTCACTGTGCATGAGGTTTGAGGCTATTCAGACTCAGATGGGTACCCAATACTAATATGCTCTGTTCTAAGCATGGTACAAATACAGCAGAGGGGCTTCAGAATTTCCAGAAAGGTAGGACTTAGGAGCGGCCATCCAGATGTAAACGGCCAGCCTGGAGAATTCCCAGCACTGGCCTCCATGGTCAGAGCAGAAACCTTCTGCTGGTTATATGCCTGTTTGTGTGGCAAGCACACTGTTATACTTAGCTTCTGAGTGTTAAGTGCTGTTTGTGCTAAAGGTCAGGGGCTGTGGATGGTGAATGGCTTAACGCCCCCAGGCCACCTGCTGGAGCTGCTTCTGTGGTTAGAGGTTTTACATAAGGTCAGGAACTAGAGCCATTATGTTCAGAGCTCAGGACTGCCTGCCTGCCTGCAGGGGCCTGCCCTCCCACGGGTCTGGATTAGAACCTCCCCAGAAGCTGGAAACCCTGTTCAGGCGTGGGCGGGCAGCCCTACCTTCCACAGAGAAGACGGAAAAGCAGAGAAGTAGGATGCAGAGAAGGCTGGAAAGCACGAGAAGCCTCATGGCCAGGCAGTGGATCTGGAGCCTCGTGTCCTGAGGAGGGAGCTGTGTACAGAAGTCCTCCCTTGAGGCCACCTTGGACATTTATAGAGTGACGGAAAGGGCAGGGCACAAGCGAACTTGGAATTCTCCCAAGAGAATTCAGAGTAGAGTCAGCCTCTCCCAAGAACAAAACCAGTTTTTCGAGAATCATTTCGTGACAGTAACCTAGAAAGCTATAAATGCCCAGCCTGGAGAGTTCCTAGCATCAGCCTCAGTGATCAGAGCAGGAAACTTTTAGTAGGGAAGAGCCACTACCCAGGGTTGAATGTTAACTTTTAGTGTCAGTAATAATTCCATCAAATGGAATCCTCAGAGGTGGCTGAAAGGAGGACCATAAAACTCTTTGCAAAGCCTCAAGGATGAGTCTAGAACAACTGGGTGAAATGTAGACAACATAGGCCCTGGAGTCAGATGATCTGAGTTTGATCAGAGACATGACCTTAAACTTGTCCTTGACCTTGAATGTCTGAGTCTGCTCCTCATCTGTGAAATGGGCACAGAGCTACCTCTCTCACAAGCCTGCATGAAGACGTGTACAGGAAGCTGTTTGCACCAAGGTGGATACTCACATAAAGCTGTTAAAGCTGGGGTCACAGCTGGACCTTGATATTTCAGACAGTGGTGAAATAAAAGGGCACCTCAGGTACATGATCAGCCTGAGCAAAAGCCTTGAGGAGGCGAGCTTCTGACCAGGGCAGGCATGGGGAGAGTATGCCCACAGGTGCAGGAGGCCTAGCTGTCACTCATTCTTTGGACACATGCCCTGGGCTGGGGCATGTGGCCTCAGGGACACAGAAGACACTGTACCCAGCTTTTGGGAGCTTCTGTTGGTGGAGGCAGCTGTGCAGACAAGTGACCACTGCATGGCATTGTTAAGTGCTGTTTGTGCTAAAGGCCAGGGAGGTGGGTTGCTCAGGTGGGGGGTGGGACAGGAAAGGTAGGCTTTGTAGAGATGGACTGAGACTGGGTAGGGTGAGGGGAGGTGGGCTGGCAGGAAGGCCGGGTCATGGTGGGCTTCCTGGACCAGCAGAGGAGTCAGACTGGCTAAGGTAGGGAGGCATGGGGGTGCTGAAGCTGGGTAAAGACTGATGGCAAGAATGCTTTGAGCTCCTATTCCTTCAGGGAGGGTCTCTGAATGTCCCTCCAATAATGGCATAGGGCCTCTTAAGCACCTGCCAGGCCCTGGCCTCAGGTGGTGTCAGAGATACTGGTGACCCTGAGCCTGTGAGAAACGGTGGGTGGGTAGGAGAGATCACTGTGCTTCCCATGCACATTGCAGAGCCCTGCCTGGGCTGCTCTCCCATCTCCACTTCCAAACCAGTTCTCATCCTTCCAGCTCCCAGCTCAAGAATCTCCTCCACTTGAAGCCTTCCCTGGCCCCTGGTGCAGGTAGTATTGACGTGTGTCGTGCCTGTTACCTCTCAGTATCTTGTTTCCTTCCAAATGTCAAGCTCTAGGAGATCTAGGGCCTGAGCCCAGGGGTGAATGATGGGCAGAATCCCCGTATCTTTATACCTGCTGGGGGCTCCATGGTCAGCTGTGAGTGGTGCAGGGCTCTGCAATGCCTTGGACTGCTGACGGTCCTGCCCACCTGGCCTGAGGTGTCATTGGAAGATGGCTGGGAGATAAGACTCAGGCAAGAAACCAGGAAACCTGCCTTGATGGTCAGAGGATGGAAGGGTTATGGAGCATGAAAACACCCTTCCAAAAACGAGAGAGGAAAAAAATGTGTGGGAGGTGGTTTCCAAGTCATTTAGTGTGCGGTGGGGTTGTCGCAGGCTGAAGAAGAAATGTAAAGTTTTTGTGGACACAGAGAGGAAGATGGGTCAGCCACAGGAGCTCCCTTGTGAAAACCAGCAAGTAAAGACATGATGCATATCAAATGTGTGCACATGCACAGAATTTGCATTTGTGAAGTGATGTTGATGTCCACCTGTCCTTTGCCTTAATAGTAAGTATGTTAAAAAAAAAATAAGTATGTTGTTCTAATCAAGGAACTGACACTGAGCTCTGTACCTGGAGCTCAATGAGTAGGGCGCTAACCACATACACCAAGGCCGGTGGATTTGAGCCTGGTCCTGGCCTGCGAAACAATAATGACAACTACAATCAAAAAACAGCTGGGCATTGTGGAGGGAACCTGTAGTCCCAGCTACTTGGGAGGCTGAGGCAAGAGAATTGCTTAAGCCCAAGAGTTTGAGGCTGCTGTGAGCTGTGATGCCACAGCACTCTACTGAGGGCAACAGCTTGAGACTCTGTCTCAAAAAAAAAAAGGGAACTGACACTGGATCCCAGCCTTGAAGGGCAAATGTGAAGATGCCAGTACCTGGTTCAACTCTCCAGGGTCTCCCCTGGTTTCTGGCTGCTGATTTAGACATTGCCTGCTGCCAAGAGACTGGCCAGTGGTGCACTTCAATGACCCTGCTCTTTGGTACAAATGAGAGAAGCAATTTAGACCACATGCTCAGACAGTTCAATGAACAAATCAGTGACCAGGGACATTTTGACAGTTATCTGGTATGTTTTTCAACATCTGCAAAAACTAAAACTCATCCACACAAAGAAACTGGCTGGGCCTGCTGGCCTTAGTACATCATGCAATGTCAGTCACCTGCCTGACACTCACTGGTCTCCTTTCCAGGCTTTGTTCTGAGTCCTGATGGCTGTGCTGAAGAGTTTAGGCAGGAAGACCCCAGGAGCCCACCAGGGACAGTTCCAGAGCTGGAGTCCAGGACAGGCCTGGGGATGGCCACAGCAAAGTTTCCTAAAGGTGCTTCCTAAAGTTAGGATTACATCCACGGTTCATACTGAAGACTAGTACCACTTTTTATTTATTGAAGACTAATACCACTATTTTATTTACTTTCTTTGGGGTCATTTGGGAGTGTCACTGCTGAGTTCTCTGAGCTTCAGCAGACCTGATGTGTGCTAACTTTGGGAGTTCTCTGGGCATCAGCAGGCCTGATGTGTGCTAACTTTAGGTGGTTGAACTCACCTGTTACCTGTTGCAACGATACCTTTACATTGAAATCCTTGTTGCTTTTGGCAAACCATCATTGGAGAGAAAAAGAATATCCAGCAAGCAGAGGGGGAAGGGAAGAGGTCAACTCTTAGAGCTGAGCTGTAATCACTCAGCAGTGGTACAAGAATTAGGAGTGGGCTCTCAGGCTAGCAGACAGCTTCATCTGAATCAGCTAAACCAGGACTTGGGTGATTTTTCCAAGATCCCTCAGCCAGGCTGGATGTGGTGGCTCATGCCTACAATCCTAGCATTCTGGGAGGCTCAGGTGGGTGGATCACCCGAGCTCAGGAGTTCAAGACCAGGCTGATCAAGACCTAGACCCTGTCTCTACTAAAAATAAATAACTAGCCAGGCATTGTGGCCAGCCCCTATAATCCTAGCTACTACTCAAGAGGCTGAGGCAAGGGAATTGCTTGAACCCAAGAGTTGGAGGTTGCTGTGAGCTATGATGCCATGGCCCTCTACCCAGAGCAAAAGAGTGAGACTCTGTCTCAAAAACAAAAACAAACACCTCTTGGGGGTGGGACACAATTGTAAGAGGGAATTTACCTAACAAATGCAATCTGTGTCACCTAATTCTTTTTTTTTAAACCTAATTCTTTGTATCCTCCTCAAAATGCCTCAGTCACAGAGCTAGAACTTTAGGTTCTCAACACAGCTTTTCTTCATCACGGAACAGCACCATCCCCGAAGGGACTGTGCAGTTAAGAGTGGGAAGAACTGGCCATCTCAAGGCTCTATTTCTTCCCCACTCACAGACACAGCAGGCAGATCTGCAGGTTGTCCTGGGACCATATGTTTCTTAAGAAGAAGAGATTCAGATGCCAGAATTCCACCTGCTTTTAATGCTAGCCATAAATAAATAAATAAATAAAACCACCGAGGGGATCCATGTCCACATTAATTTAAGCACACAGGGTATAAAGTATTCTATAAGTTAGTTCCCTGCTAATCTGGCTGGTTCCCCAGGGATAATCACTGCTTTTCACAGATTTTTCACCTGCTTCTAACATTTCAAAGAGAACTGTCACCTTCTTACTTTGCAAAAGGAAGAAACACCTCTGGCTCTTTAGAATATTTAAAAATCTCCAGCTGAACTGAGAGAGGTGGAAATGAGAAGTGTTCTAACAGGAACACCTATTCGTTTTGAGCATATGCAGTTTGGGTACCAAAAAAACGTAATCGAGTTTGAGGCTTTGCATGATCCCCAGTGATTTTGAAAACCTGGCCACTTTCCTGAGAACAAAGCCTTCAGAGACACACCTAGCACGCTGGGAAATTTACAAGGAAGAAAAACTTTTCGAGTCGAATTTATAGTTTCTAAGGCCAGGAAGGGAACTGCCTGGAGCACACACACCCTTCTGGCCTGAGTCCCACACGTCCCTCTCAGCCGCCATGCTTTTCTGCCAAGAGCGTTTTATGGACCTGGGATGGATCAGAAATGACTCTCCCTCCTTTGTTTGCTCAGCAAAGTGCCACTTGGCTTATGGTGGGGGGAGGCACCTTCCCTTGCTTGTCTTCTTTCCATCTAATTCTCTCCTCACTTTAGGGAGGCAGGGATTTACTTTCAATTTTACTTGACAAGGGAAAGGGAAGTTTCCCTTCACTCCACAGAAAGGTTACAGGGAATTTCTAAATGGAGCGAGGCGTATTTGCCTCCAAAGCTGAGGTGCTTTCCAGAGTTCCACTGAGAGCTGTGTGTGGTTGAAAATAGCCACCAACGTTGATGTTTAGCTTACACTCACTCCCAAATTGTACAAAAACCTGAGCATTTCCTCTACCTTTTTTTTTTTTTAAAGAAAATCAAACCCCCAACCTTTTTTTTTTTTTTTCAGGTTTTGCCCAGGTCTGGATTTGAACCTGCCACCTCAAGCATATGGGACCGGCGCCCTACTCCTTTGAGCCACAGGCGCTGCTCCCAATCCTGTATTTTTTACAG